CGTCCGCACAGAAAAAAGGCGCGGAACGATTGTCTGCCGTTGCTCTGACGGAGGGAGGGGCAACGGCAGACAATCAAGTGGCACTTGTATTCAAGTGGCACTTTATTCTGTGAGTAGCCCAGGGCCTAGCAGAGGCATTGTTGCCCAAGAGATCCCTGCAATGGGTCTGCAACTGGCTCACAAAGCTGCCCCTGATTCCAACAGGCCATGGTTGTGCTGCCTGTCCACAGCAAGGAGCAGTCCTGTATATGCCTCCCTTGCAGCCATTGGAGGTGGGAAGAGACATGCAACCACCTACTCCCTGCTGAAAAGCACCTGGGGGTGCAGTCATTATGTCTAGCTCAGGTGCTTCCCTGCCCCCATTACTGGGGTACCTGAACACCTCACTCTTTAATGGATTCATCCTCCCATCCTTCCCATGCAGCAAGGCCATGCTGTTTCCCTATTCCCCCACTCTAGCTCCAGGTGGCTGCTTTATCCATCAGTTCCCATATCCATAGGAAGGAGCATCGATGATGTTGTCTGAGATGTGGAGCGTTCAGGGTATGATTGAGCTGTGCAAGCTTCCTCTGGTGACACTTTGCTCCATTGAGTAGGGCATCCTTGGGCATGGTGCCCCCCTCTGCTGCTGATCCTGCTCTGGATGTACGTCTTGCAGAGGCAGTATGGGAGATTCTTCCAGAATGCACTGAGACAAACCCAGTCAGGCAGCATGATCAGAGCTTCTTGTTATTATTCATCTTCTAACAGCAGGGTATCATGGTGCCAGGTGCTTTACGAACACAGTGAGAGACAGCTCCTGCCCTGAAGAGTTTGCCCTCTAGACAACACAAACAATTATTTGGGAGGGGAAACTGAGGCATGAAGCAGGGAAGTGACTTACTCAAGGCCATGGAACAGAGTCAGGAATAGAACCTAGTTCTCCTGACACCCACTTCAGTACCCAAACCATTGTCTTAATAACACTGCAGCTCGGCAGTGTGCTTAGGCAGTGTGACCTAGTGGATAATGGACTGGACTGGGATTTAAGAGACCTGAACCCTGCCACCTGGCCTGCTGGGTGACCTTGGGCAAGTCACTTCCCTGCTCCATGCCTCAGTTTCCCTATATATACAATGGGGTAATGATACTGACTTCCTTTGTAAAGCATTTTGAGACCTACTGATGACCAGCACTCAATCAGACCTAGGAATTTGTTATTTAATGAATATTTTCTGTCAGATCTCACTGGGATGGGTCTTGTTTTGTAAATGCCTTTTCTGGGCAATTTCCCCCCTTCCTCACCCCCAGCTTTTGACCCTGCCTGAAGTGAAATACAGTGAAGTACCCTGGTTAATGCAGCCACAATGGGCAATCATCTGCGTAGTGAATAATATTCTTACTTTCCCTACTGACGATGGGGGTTGGGACACAAAGCAACATTCCTTTATTAATAGTTTACATGTACCTAACTCCTTTCATCTGAGGATTTCAAAGCACCTTACGTGTGTGAATTAAACCAGTGTATTTATTATAATCATTAGTTATTATGATGATTATTAACTTCCCTCTCAGGTAGGCCAGCATTATTAACCCTGGCATTTTACAGGGCTGTGCAGTGAGTTGACCACGGGCACACAAGGAGTTACTAACAGGATTAGGAAGAGAACCAAGGAGCCCTATGTCCCAGTCCCCTACTTTGACCAATATGCCACATTGTCACTATTGTATCACAATCTTTCCTGGAGCCAGACTGGATAAAACTACAGTCCAGGAATGGATTACAGTCTTTTAAAGTGATGGCCCCTTTAAGAGAGACAGAGAGAACTTTGAGCATACCAAGTTCTGAGTCGGTTGGGCAGAGAAGTGGAGGAACAAGCTGCAACATGGGGATTTCTCTTAGCAAGACCCAAAAGGCTTCCATAAATCGGGGACCCGACCAGAAACTGGGGACCAGAGAACCAACAATCCTGTGGTTTTCCCATCACCTTCGCAAAGGTATGGGGATTTAGGTATAGGGGCTAATTTGAACAAGGGGCATGATTCGGGGTGGTTGCTTCACTTGTGGACTCCTGGGTTCTAACCCCAGCCCTGGCAACTACCTTGCTGTGCGGACTCAAGCAAGTCAATATGCTGCTCTGTGACTCAGTTTCCCCATCTACAATACTCACCTATGCCACAGGAGTGTGTGGAGGAATCATCAGCTCATGTTTCCAGCAGCATTAATAATGCAGAGAGTTGGTTTGAGAGAGAGAAATGGGAATTTAGAGATTATTTTTGTTTCCTTTTTTCAAACAATAAATTGGAGGATTTTGTGGGGTGAAAGAAAGGTGTTGCACTGGCAGTCTGGGGACCTTAGGCCTGTCTAAGGAGTTGGGACCAATCATCTCTGGGAGTGAAAGGGCCTTCACTCTCTCTGTTAGCCGGGATTATGAGCCTACCACAGATCATAGGCTAAGCAGAGGTGTCCCGGGTCAGTACTAGGGTACTGCAGTAAGTGGTACTAAGGACGCACTAAGGGGTGCTCTTTCTTCCAAGTCTGCAGGGATACCCCAGTATTGCCCTTGTGGGTGTGGCGCTGCAGGGAGTGGTGTGGCTCTCCCCTCAAGTCAGTACAGACTCCAGCATGCTGAAGGGAGGAAGGAATTATGCTGCAGCAGTAGCCGTATTTCAGATGAGCTGCAAAAACCAAGATGTTGACCATTTGGGCTCCCTTCAAACCCTATGGCAGGGTGCCAATAGCTGGGGTGAACCCCTTTCATCACTGTAGTAGGCATCTGCCCTGCAGCTGTGCTACTGTAGCATTTCTAGTGTAGATATATCCTCAAAATGTGTATCGGCATAGCTACCTAGGTCCGGGGCATGAAAAAACCAGACACCTGAGCCATGTAGCTATGCTGTCATGACCCCCAGTGTAGACGCAGCTATATTGATGGAAGAGGGCTTCCATGGATGTAACTTCGTGGTGTTCCTACAGTGACAGAAAAAACCCTTCTGTTGGACAGGCTGCGGCGACACCGTGGGGCTATGCCGGCACCAACTCCATAGCCTAGTTGTCTCTTATCCTGATGTAAGTGTGGCTTTCTTTGGTTTAGCTTAAATCCTATCCCAAGTGACATAAGTTAAACTGAAAAGGCCATTCATACCAGAATAAGAGTGTCCACATAGGAGGAGGTGGTGCCAGAGCGGTATGATAACACTGGGATAAGGGGTAAAACTTTCCTGTGTAGACAAAAGCCCGCGGGGCTGCGGGTTGGTTACACAGCACTGATGTACAGCTGGAAATAAACCTGTTCCTTGCTGCTCATGGTCAGCCCGGACCACACTGCCTCCATAAACTGCCATGACCCCAGAGGTGGCTGCCTTGCAGTGTCAGGGAGATGTTGATTATCATCCTGCTGTGGTCTTTCGAGTGGGCCCAACACCCTGAACAAAGTGCCCCTCACAGACATGCTCTCGCCTCCGCCAGCTGCCCCTCACACCCCACTAACCGCCCCGAGACATTCCCAACCCCACCAACTGTCCCTCTGAACTACCCCAACCCCACCAACTGCCCCCTGAGACATTTCCAACCCCACTAATTGCCCCCTGAACTATCCCAAACCCACCAACTGCCCCCTGAGACATTCCCAACCCCACCAACTGTCCCTCTAAACTACCCCAACCCCACCAACTGTCCCTCTAAACTACCCCAACCCCACCAACTGCCCCCTGAGACATTTCCAACCCCACTAATTGCCCCCTGAACTATCCCAAACCCACCAACTGCCCTCTGAGACATTCCCAACCCCACCAACTGCCCCCTGCACTACCCCAACCCCACCAACTGTCCCTCTGAACTACCCCAACCCCACCAACTGCCCCCTGAGACATTTCCAACCCCACTAATTGCCCCCTGAACTATCCCAAACCCACCAACTGCCCTCTGAGACATTCCCAACCCCACCAACTGCCCCCTGCACTACCCCAACCCCACCAACTGTCCCTCTGAACTACCCCAACCCCACCAACTGCCCCCTGAGACATTTCCAACCCCACTAATTGCCCCTGAACTATCCCAACCCCACCAACTGCCCCCTGAGACATTCCCAACCCCACCAACTGTCCCTCTAAACTACCCCAACCCCACCAACTGCCCCCTGAGACATTTCCAACCCCACTAATTGCCCCCTGAACTATCCCAACCCCACCAACTGCCCCCTGAGACATTCCCAACCCCACTAACTGCCCCCTGAGACATTCCCAACCCCACCAACTGCCCCCTGAGACATTCCCAACCCACCAACTGCCCCCTGAGACATTCCCAACCCCACCAACTGCCCCCTGAACTACCCCAACCCCACCAACTGCCCCCTGAGACATTTCCAACCCCACTAATTGCCCCCTGAACTATCCCAACCCCACCAACTGCCCCCTGAGACATTCCCAACCCCACCAACTGCCCCCTGAACTATCCCAAACCCACCAACTGCCCCCTGAGACATTCCCAACCCCACCAACTGCCCCCTGAACTACCCCAACCTCACTAACTGCCCCTCTGAACTGCCCCAACCCCACCAACTGCCCCCTGAGACATTCCCAACCCCACCAACTGCCCCCTGAGACATTCCCAACCCCACCAACTGTCCCCTGAACTACCCCAACCTCACTAACTGCCCCTCTGAACTGCCCCAACCCCACCAACTGCCCCCCAAAACATTCCCAGCCCCCTCACGGCCCCCCACAGCCAACCAGAGACATCCCCAACGGGAGGGAGGGACCCCCCGCGGGAGCTGCCCTGGGGGTCTGCGGCTGGCCCTGACAGCCCCACAACTGTGGCAATTCCAGCTCCACATCTGGCGTCAGAAAATCGAGAGCGTGCGGCGATGATAAACGAAGAATCCCTTTCTCCCTCCCACCCTCGTTATTTTCGTGCCTTCGCCCGCCCCCTGCGCTACTCTTGGATTTTATCTGCATCGCCCGGAACCGCAGAATCAACCGCGCTCCCCCCCCTTCCCTCTGGAGCCCCGCCCCTTCGGGAGGAGGGCTTTTGCCTCGCTATAGTCACGTGACGGCGCCATCCGGGTCCTTTGCCTTCTCTCCCTCTGCCCAACATGGCGGCTTCAGGTGAGTGGTGCTCGGCGGCCTCCGGGCCCTTGAGACCTGAGCCAGGCCCGGGTCCCTTCTCCGGGCCGAGGACTCTACCCGCTTCCTCACCCCGGCCCGACCCTCGCCCTCCCCGGCCCGAGCGAGGCGAATCGTGTCTGTCTTCTCCTCCACGCAGGGATCGCCCGCGCGCGCGCACCTCCCCGCCCCTCCCCTCCGGCCTCGCCGGCGTGCGCGCGCACCGTCCCCTTCCCCAGGCAGCCGGGGCGCGCGCGCCGCGGCTCGGAACGTTCCATCCTGGAACGTTCCGAGTCGCGGCGCGCGCCATCCTACCGTGAGGGGGGGGCAGCTGGGGGAGGGGCGGCTCGCGCCGCCGGTGATTGACGGGGGAGCGGGGGAGCCAGATGGAACCTTCGGTCGCGTGATTGCGCAAGCGCAGGGATTGGCTGGCTGGGGGGGCGGGAGCGGACACGGAGAGAGAGGAAGAAGGAGACTGGGCGCCACCCACGTGGGTGCGCTGGTGACCGGGGGGGGGCGTGGTGGAACAGCCGCTGGCTGCGGGCGGTGCCCAGCCCGGGTGCGTGCGCGGGCCCATCTCTCCTGGGAGAGGGCGGGGTGCAGGGCCCTGTCCGCGTGCACCCGCTGCCCCGCCCCCCCCATCTCCGACAGACCAGGAGTTCCCCAGCACCACGTGGGGCGCCCCCTAGTTCCCGCAGTGCTGCATCATCTCCCCCAGAACGGGGGGGGGGCAGGGTGCCCCGATTCTTCCCCCCACCCCAAAGCTAAGGGGTGTGGCCTGACCGCTCCACATAGAACCCCGTAGGGGGGTCTGCGGCCTGCCCCCAGGGCTGGGTATCGCTCCTGCCAGCCCGCCCCCCTGCCCTGAGGGGGGTGTGAAGCTCCCGACGCACCCCAGGACCAGAGGGTGCAGTGTTCCCACGTGGTCTCTCTCTCACAGGAGGAAGGGACAGCCCAGCCTGCGCACTCACCACTGATCAGATCAACGCTAGTTTGCGTCTCTTATCTCTGTCCTCGGGGAGCTGGGTAGGCCCCTCTTCTGCGAGGTTGAGGCCCCCCCCCCACTCCAACACATCTTTGCCCCATGCCATTTTGCCTGGGCCTGCTGCAACACCCTTCCTCTTCCTACTTGTGGGAGGGAGAACTCTACAGAGCATCTGCTGCTGTCCCAGCCCTCTTGCCTACCCTGTATCCCGGGTGGCAGGGATGCAGTGCCCCTTCTACTGAAGGAAATGGGGTTTGTGCCCTGCTCTGTACAGCTCCTCTGTCCCTTCCAGGACTTGCTGTCTGCCTTGTATTTCTAATATGGTGTATAGGGCCAGGATGGAATCCAGGAGGGGTGGGAAATGGTACTGCAGCAGTTTCCTTCCCTTCAGAATGAAAGGTGAAAGATTTGGCTGTCCTAAACGGAAAGGAAAGGGCTTTCTCTGCTGTTGAGATTCATTTACTTCTCTGGATGATGTTGAACTTGAATTTCTATTACTGTCTTAGTCTGAAGAGTGACTTTTATATGCCTTTGAAATGCACCAGACTGCACCATTATCTGCAGGTATTATCCAAAATAAGCCGGAAGGTACGTACCCTTGAATCTCCTAGCAGGGCTCTTCTTCTTTCTAACTCCCTGAACCCAAGACCCCATGCTGAAGAGTTTAATCACACACCCCTTATTGCAAGTTATCCCTTTGGAACATTCCTTCAACATTTGCTGTTAATTTAGAAAAGCTCTGTGGAGTTGAGGTCTGTTTGTTTTGGGGTGGGGGAAGCTCCATTATTTAAATATAGTCTTACCGTGTCTGGAGCAATGGGTCTCCCATTAATTTATGTGAAAGAGTGGCTTTACTCTGAACTCTTCCTGGCACCCAGCCAGTATTGCTCAATTAAGAACTGAGGGGTCTGTAGCTATTGAGTCAGGTTAACTTTGTTTTAGGGTTATACTGAGGTTCTGCAGTTAACTAGGCTGACTTCTGTCTCTTATCTCACTGGTTACACTTCTGATTACAGTAACCACAAAAGCCCTAGCTGTATGAGAGTCTACTGGTACTAATTCAGTCGGCTGTGTCCCATTCTGTTCCCTAGAGAAAAGGCAGCAGAAATCGTGTGTTTTGTTGCTTTTTTTTTTCCATAAGATGGTAAGTACAGTGTTTGACATCTGCACTTACCATCTTAGGAAATGTCAAGGCATCAGTATAACTGTTCAGGCAGCTTTCTTCACTTAACTCACTTTTGCTCTAGAATGAGTAATATTTCATCTTTCTGAGTTAAGTACAAAACCAACTCCTTCCCACCCCCAATGAACAGCAATAACATGGCTCTTGCTGTATGACTGAAATGTCAGGGGGCATGGATCAGGACAGTTAAGCAAAACTGCAGCACTCTGAATTTGCAGATGCCATTTGGAGTTTCACCAGCAGAACTGTAAGGTCCCATATTTCATAGCAAGCCATTTGAGGCAGAAATACCTGCCTGCCTTTTCCCTAGGTGTTTGCACAAACATGTCTGTAGCTGACTAGAACCTGAGCCCATGATGTGCTTATGCATTTGTGCAGCCCAAAAAGCAAAATATTGCTTTGAGCTTAGGGATAAGGGAAAATGATGAAACACACACAATCGCTTAAGTCACACATTTAGAGCTACATTAAATATAATACTTACAATATACTACTTCTGCCTTGAATTTTTATTTTCACAATTCCCTGGGGTAACATTTTTAATGGGGTAAGTTAAATAAATAAATCACTAGCATGTTCAACATTGTATCAAAGGGTAAGCAAATAGGCTTTGTGCCTAGGCTGATCAGATTTCCCAACAGTTTTACAAAGCTGCATTAATAAAACATAGATCTCTGTACAAGTGCCTGTACATCTCTTAATAATGGTAATGTTTCAATAAGCTAAGTTTGAGTGGAGCAGTAGCGTATGCTTTTTGTTTGTATATAGCAGCTGGGAATTGGAATCGGAATTTACCAACAAGAAAAGGAGGACTTGTGGCACCTTAGAGACTAACCAGTTTATTTGAGCGTAAGGTTTCGTGAGCTACAGCTCACTTCATCGGATGCATAAAGTGGAAAATACAGTGAGGAGATTTATATACACACAGACCATGAAAAAATACACGTTGTAAGGAGAGTGATCACTTAAGATGAGCTATTACCAGCAGGAGAGTGGGGTGTGGGGAGAGAGAACCTATTGAAGTGATAATCAAGGTGGGCCATTTCCAGGAGTTAACAAGAACGTCTGAGGAACAGTTGTGGGGGGGAATAAACAAGGGGAAATAGTTTTACTTAATATAATGACTCAACCACTCCCAGTCTCTATTAAAGCCTAAGTTAATTGTATCCAATTTGCAAATTAATTCCAATTCAGCAGTCTCTCGTTGGAATCTGTTTTCAAAGTTTTTTTTTTTTTTTGAAGGATAGTCACTTTGAGATCAGAAATCGAGTGACCAGAGAGATTGAAGTGTTCTCCGACTGGTAATAGCTCATCTTAAGTGATCATTCTCCTTACAATGTGTATTTTTTCATGGTCTGTGTGTATATAAATCTCCTCACTGTATTTTCCACTCCATGCATCCGATGAAGTGAGCTGTAGCTCACGAAAGCTCATGCTCAAATAAATTGGTTAGTCTCTAAGGTGCCACAAGTCCTCCTTTTCTTTTTGCGAATACAGACTAACACGGCTGCTACTCTGAAACCAAATTTACCAACAGTAGATGTTAAGAAAACTCTTGAAGGGCTTGGTGCTCCCAGGTATAACTGGTGCCTAGTTTGGAGATAGCTTCTGCTCATATCAGGGAGGAAGCTGATACTGGCCTTATTGGAAATCCACAACTGGCAAGAAAGGGCTTCTTTTGTCTAGGGGGCTTTCCCTGTATTGTTCTTCCTGAGCCATGTGAGGTTTTGATGGGTTCGGTGATGCATAAGTAGCACTGCATTCAGCAACAGGAGTTGCTTCATACTGTTCGCTCCTGCCTGTGACTTGTCAGCCATTTGATGCAAATTGAGTAAACAGCCAGCCTGCAGGTTTTATGAATGCAGCGGCTGTTCTCCTTAGCAGTGCCTTTGCTGTCATTTAGCAACCAATCATTGACACCCAAGTAGACGTCCTTGTGGGTGGGAACCTACATGAAGCACCTTCAGCTACTTTCTTTCTGAGCAACACTTGCCTACAGCAGGAGGGCGCTTACGCCTCATTTTCTGCAGTATGTTGCTGCTGCTGAGCTGCTAGTTCTTTTATCCTTGGCTGATGTCATAATTCCGTGAGTTTACCCCCGCAAGTTGAACTTTAACCATCCTAGAAGACTAACCCAGTTTTAATTCTCGGTCCTTGTAGACTCCAGTACTTTAACAATTGATAGTTCTTAAAGATTAGCTAGATTCCCCTATCATCCCCATTTGCAAGAGCTCTTGCAACCCCTGCTTTCCATGCTTAGCAATAGCATTCCCAGTGTATACAATAAAAACATCAGACTAGAGCATTTTGCAGGAAGGGGGGGAGGCACTTTGGAGTCTTTTCAATTTTTTCTGCTGCATCAAGAGGGTCACCTTAAACGTCATGGGCCCTTTACCCTGGGGGGTTTCTGGAAAACTCCAAAGCTGCACAGGTAGCAGCATGTGGGTTTTGTGTGACCACCTTTAAAATAACTACGTTTTGTAAACTGAGCGGCTGATACAGTGGCTATGAATTTCTAAAGCTCACCCCAGGGTAGACATTTCTCATTTAGATCTAATTATCTATAGTGCTGTTTTAGTCGCTGATGAGGCCATGTTCTGCATAGTGTATGGAAGTCTGGTTGCTGAATTAGGTGTGTGACAGGAATTGAGAAGGTAGAGCAGAAGGCAACCTGAAAGAAAAGAGATGTTTGCAGTGAAGTAGGGGGATGCTGGCGATATCACTTGAGTGATGGGGGAGGGAAGAAGCAATAAACCTGTGCCTCTGTACTCAAATAATTCCAGTAAATTATACGGACTCTCCATTAATCACTTACTTCTGACAGATTTTGGGTATAGGGCATTATTCCTGAAACTGCTGCTCTAGGTAGAGTGCAAAGTGTGCTGGCCCTGTGGTCAAATATTAATCATTGCTGCTTTGTAAGAGGCCTAGCTGCAAGTCTTGTTCTCTTACTTTCATAGTCAGCATGGGCTCTATGTAGATGCCTCTGACTTCTCTGGGTGACTCCAAGGTACATCTACACTGGAAATGCTACAGCAGTGAGGCTGCAATGCTGTAAAGCAGACCCTTAAATACAGCAGTGGAAAAACCCTATCCATTGCAGTAGTAAATCCTCCTCTCTGAGAGGAAGAATTCCTCCATCAACCTAGCGGTATCTACACTGCAACTGAGGCTGGCTTAATTACATCGCACAAGGAATGAAACTTTTCACAACCATGAGCAGTGTAGTTAAGCCAACCTAAGTTTGTCGTGTAGACCAGCCCTGAGTGCTGTTGAGGGGCTCTGGAAAAGGCAGTATGGTTTAGTGGATAGCGCACTGGACTGGGATTTTGGGCCCGAGTTTCGTTGCTGGCTGTGGTCTTGGGTAAGTAGCTTCCTCTCGCTCTGCCTCAGTTTCCTCACCTGTAAAATTTGGATAACGATACTGACTTCCTTTGTAAAGTGTTTTGAAATCTACTGATAAGAAAGCACGGGGTAAGATCTCTGCTAGGACAATAGTAACTGCAGGGCAGGCATCATGGGTGATGAAATAAAATAGGAACTAGCAAAATGGGATAGGTTTCAGAGGAACAGCCGTGTTAGTCTGTATTTGCAAAAAGAAAAGGAGTACTTGTGGCACCTTATAGACTAACCAATTTATTTGAGCATGAGCTTTCGTGAGCTACAGCTCACTTCATCAGATGGGATAGGAGACTCTACCATATATGTTTATCGCCCTGGCACCTCGAAATTCCTCCTGGCCATAGGAACTGAGTGTCTTAACTGGAGCTCACTGTTACTCCTTGGAACTCAACCTGCAAGGCTGGAGGATTTTTAAGGCTCCAAGCTGTTACTTTCCATTCCCATCTTGCTTGAGGTCAAACCTGCTTGTGCTTCAGGGTTTTTTCCCCTCCTCCTCTCAGCCTAGCCATGAAGTCACAATGCTGAATCTGTGATTTCACAGTTGCTTCCATGGCAACAAAATGAGGTGGCTTAATAAAAAAAGGACCATGTGGCTTTGCTACAAGATTTAGACTCCAGGGTGGGCTGTGGGGGAGGAAAGTGAGAAGGACGAGCAGTTCAAGCAAATGCCATGTATCTTTGTTCAGGATCTGTCCAGTTACCATGCAGGCAGCAGAGGAAAGTAAGTAAACTTAATTGAAGTTGCTGCTTCTGAACCAATTTATTTCATATACTGAGCTGCCCGGTAGGGCATGGGAAGTGCCCTGTAGTCAAACTTACTTCCAGAGATTATATGCTGCTGTAAGCAATGTAGTCTTTTAATGTTGGGGGCAACCATGAGCAAGCCCCTGCTTGAGGAAGGGAAGAAACGTTGGGTGGTGCTGGACTCCCTTGGTATGCTGGTAGCGAAAGCTGGGCAGGTTGCAGAGAAATAGATTTCTTGGGAGCCGCTGGAGGAGAAATA